AGAAGAGTTAAAGTGTTCCGTTGTTTTTGTTGATTATTTAACCCTTTTACATTAAGGGTTGCTATTTTGAATTTGATGTAATTGGTCATGAAGAATTAAGTAGTGGTACAGATTTAGATCTAGGAGTTCTGTACTCTGTTACAGAGATTTCTATATAGAGTCTTTCTGATTAGCTTAGCCTTTTGTTTTGAAAAAGTTTTCTTGTCTTTTTTCTTTTTATATGAGACAACTGTAAATTTCTTCTCAGCATTATCAAAGCGAGATTGCAAATTAATGTTATTTGCAATTAGAACTAAGGAAGAGTTTAGAGCTTGAGGTTTTTCTGTTTCTGTAATTATAGTACTGGTAAAGTTGTCGATAGGAAGGTTTTCTTTATTGATATCACTAAAAGTTTTATTATATGAAACTTCCAGATCTTCTTTCATTGTTGCTGGGTTTTCTACTATCTCTTTTTGTATTCTTTTAGAGTTAGTTGTTTCTTCTGAACTGGCTAAAGAAGTTTCTTTAGCTTGATTCATATCCATGTTTAGGTCTTCTGTGTGGACCTCCTGTTCTTGTGTTTTGGGACCTTCTTTTTCTCCTTCGAAAAAAGCAATTCTGCTTTTTCTCTTGTTTGTGTTAAACTCTTTAAATTGTAGTCGAAGTTTAACTGCTTGTAAGTATTGAGGACATTCCTTCTTGATATGTCCTTTTTCATTACAAAAAAAACAAAGTTTTGGAGCTGAGCACCATTCTGTAGTGATTTTGTTATTCATAAGAATATAGAATCATGGAATTCTTTCCTCTAATTTTGGATTATTAGTAGTTTCAAATATATTAATCCATTGATCTATTAAATATGGAATACCCTCGATTAAAAGTGGTTTAATTGAGATAATTTTGCCTATATTATTGAAGGTTTCTCTAATTTCTTCTGATATAATATCTTTATCACCTAACAGAACATTTCTGATCTTGATTGGAAAAAAGGATCTTCTTGCATCAGAAGGGATGTAGCCATAGTATGTTCTGTTAAAGATCTGTATACCTTTTGAAGCATAATGCTTCAGTTTTTCCTTGTTTAAGAAAACTAGTTCTAAATAAGTATATGCTCCTTTATTAATATATGGCTTGGCTGCAATTATATCATGTTCTGTGGTTTCATGAAGTGAGATCATTATTTCATTTAGCGAGCCTGTTAGATATTGGATGTCTATGATAAGAGCATTATCATTTCTTGACTTTATATTATTTCTTGGTGAGAAAGAAGAAAAAGTTGACTGTCCTCTTTTAACTTTAGCAAAGAGGTTAGTTCAAGATTTGTTTACAGTTTCTTTGCTTTTGTTTATGTTAGTTGAACTTAGTTCTGTTAGTGGTGTCTCATATGGGTTTACGCGTATTGTTGTTGTTGGTGCTGAGTTTTCATTGTTGTTAGGTTCTTCATTACGTGTCTCGAAATTAGACATGTCTAATTCCTTGTTTTGGTCTTCTCTTTCTTTAGAGAGACCTTCTATATTTTCTAAAGAGATTTGTTCGTTCCAACTGAGTATGTTGTCGTTGGTATTTAGATGTTCAGAAACTGCTGAAACTGTCGGGTAACTGTTTGCTGTTGTAGTTTTCTCTTTGGAGTGAGAGCCTTTTTTGTTGTATGCAATAGGCTTTTCTATATTAAAATAGTTAGTAAACTTAATTTTCTTGCGTTTGCGAACCTCAAAAGTAGGAGTACTACATTTCTTAGGAACAAGGAGAGATACACCTGTTCTGATGCTGTTTTTAAAAAGAAAAAAGATCTTAGATAAATTAATTTTGTTTCTTCTAAATTACTCTCAACTCTAAACACAAGTGGTCAGGAGAGAGAGATCATCGATCTTTTTTTAATTTTTTTAATTTTTTTTTTTTTTTTTTTTAAATATTATTATGCTAAATTTTATTTAAATATTTTAGTATTTCAAAAAAGTAGATCTTGGTGTGGTAACTTAGTGAAGTGAATAAGTTGTTATATCCCCAAGTGGTAGGTTGTGAGTTCAAAACCCACCAACGTCAAAATTTGGATAATTACCTATATAATATATAGACAGTATTATGGCAATGGCATTCTGTCAATTAGTTGAGATAGGATACCTGTAACTATGGTTGCACTAGTATGACTGGCAGGTCTGGGGCATCTGTGTAACCTGTTACACAAAAGAATGCAAACCAGTACTAGGCAGTGCAAACCTAAAATAAGTCCTTAGGCCATGTAAATCTGTAAAACTAGAAAGCCAGAGCCCACTTGGAAATTTTGAGCAGAGAGATAATATGGATCTTTGACAGTACTACTGTAAAGGCTAGATCTAAGAAATAGATACCAATGTGAAGGATTCAGGTAGGCAAGAACCTCAAGTAAGAGGTATCACCAACCAGACTACCAGATTTTGAACCAGAGGAAAAGAATATTGGGCCGGCCTCAATATACCAAGGACAGGTCATAGTCCTTTCGGGCTATCTGAATTGGAAGTCTTGGTTCAAAGCAAGAGTATACTAAAAGTACTAGGGATATGCTGTGAAGTTAGTACTAGAGTCTAAGTGAACTCTGCAAAGGTAGTCTGTATTAGTGTTCTAAAATTAGATAGATAGTTAACATTAGGGGGCCCTCTGTGCCTTACTGGCAGGTAATGTACTCTAAAATGTGTAATAGCCTGTAAACCAGTACAAAAGGGTATATACCATACTGCTCAGATGGTATACTGGTTAGATATATACGAGAGGTTAGTTGGGGATTCCAATATAACAGAGTGGATGATCAGAAGGTTTAAATGGATAATTTCCTAGTAGGTTATAGGTACAGCATCTCATGTAGAACCTTAGAGCGAACTACTTAAATAGGCAACCAAAAGTTGCATACATGACTAGCTGTACTCTCATCTCTGTAAAAATAGTTGTAATAGCTAACCTGATATAAAGTCAATAAAGTATTACCACAAGTATGGCCTTTAAAAAAAAAAAAAAGTAGATCAAAGCTAAAAAAATATAAAAATATAGCTAAATTTGTTTGTTTTAGCTTATTATTTAAAAAAAAAATATTTTAATTAACCTATAATAATTATTACTACCTTTATTTTTTAGAGTTAGGATGCAGTTTAAGACAGAAGCAAAGATTAGATATAATAGTCTGAATTTTAGGTTATACAAAGTTTCAAAAATTCTGAACATTTTTATTTAATCTACCTGACCCTTGTTTCTTAATATGTTTTTTGATATATAGCTCCTAGATGATGATCACTATAGGTTATTGTTAGTAATATTCATTTAAAAAATATATTTTAAAGCATATTATCTAATTGTAGAGCCCAGAATGCTCTTTTATTAACTATTTATTTATTCTACAGACTATTAATAAAACTAGTTTTTGCAAAGCTCACTCAAAGCTTAATGCTTACTTTATAGTATATTTTTAGTATTTTTAATATATTTTTGCTTTAATTTTAAACTTTTAATTTAAATAGTTTAATAAAACTATAATCTGTTTTTGATATATTAAGTTTAGCTTAATATATTTTTTTAGTTCTATTTTAATGATCTGATTAATAATACTTCTTATTTAAAGATTCTTGTTTACTTAATTTCTTTGTATTAGTATTTGTTTTTTAGATCTAACTTTTATAGTAATACTATTAAAGATTTATATTATTTCTTTACTTAAGTTTTTTTGAATAATTTTTTATTTTTTTATTTTTATAAATTTATACAATTACAAAAACTTATTTTAAATTTGCACTTTTTAGTACTAGTTAACATTTTTTGTATAAAAACTCTTTTCTGTTTATCTCTAATTAAAAAAGGAAAATAAAAAACAACAATTATAAAGTTGCTTAACACAAAACAAAACTCAACAAAAAAGTCTACTTCAAATTCCAGAGCTTCTGTACTAAAGAAAAGAAAACTTCCTTTAAGAGTTGAACTTTTATCAACAAAAAAAATTTATAAAATGCAAAAACTTGATATTGGAAGAGAAGAAGACAACAACTCCTAAGCAGAAAAGACTAACTTTATTTCTTCTAAGTGTGTTCTTGCAATACAAGAAGAAATAGAAGCAGCAAATGAAAAACTAGTACTAGTAGTAGTAATCCAAAACAAGAAAGACTGGTTAGAAAATATTATTCAAAGAGACAACAACTTCCAAGCTTTAAAAAACACATCAAATTACAGAAACAAAACAAATGATAAAAATGTAAACAACAACAAAATTAGTTATGTACCAACTACTGAAGAAGAAACAAATCATAATACAGAGGAATAGCACAGACACAAATCTACTTTAAGCTATGTATTAGCTACCAAACAGGGCACAAACATGTTATCAAAATTAAAAAGGTAAAAATTAACCTTTGTAATCTTTTTTTCTAGAAACCAAATTAAGTTAAAAAGCAACAATACACTAATCATTAAAATTTCAGATCTTCATAATTCTCTTAATAAAATTATGGTTTTTTTATATAAAGGTCTAAAAGGAAATATTGTTGCAACTAAACAACACTTTAAAAAAGACTTAAGATCTTACTTAGAAATTGTCTTTTCAAACCAAGATTAATTAATATATTATGCCACTAATGGTATTAAAATTTTTAATAAAACATATTATGACTATATTCTAACAGATGCATATAAATCCTTTTTATCAATTAAAGTAAAAAACATACTATTAGAAACCAAGAAATACATCTCCAGCTTGATAAAAGAAGCCTTTGAAAATTTTAAAAAAATTGGCTCAATTAAACCTCTACTTATTGAAAGCATTCTTTACATAACAGACCAATAAATTGTTATTTTTGATAATACTAAAGACTTAAAATTAGAACAAAAAATCTTTCAATTCACATATATAGATAATAATAAAGTAACTACTAAGTAAAAGAAGATACCAAAAGTCTGTTATTTTTGTGACCAAACAGAAAACATTAAAAAAGACTGCACAGTTTTAAGAAGCAAAAAACCTAAGCCTGCATTATCAGAAATTCAAAAGAAAAAGTACACAAAACAGAATGCCCATTAAAAACCTAACAGAAAATAACCCATATGTGGAAAAAGTAGAAAACCTCTTAATGCAAGAAGAAATCCAAAACATGAACATGAATAAAACATGCTTACAAAAACAAGAAACAGAAGAAATTATATTAAATTATGATATAAATAGCAAAACAGATACTGTTTGCACAGAAATTCTTATTAAAAATAATCTTAACACAACACAAAGACTAGTAATTAATAATATAGATTTGAAAAGTGCTTAATCAAATGAGCAAAAAAAAGTAGATAATCCAATCTTTATGTTAGTTGTACATAAAAAAAGAAAACATAAGGATTTAAAATCTTATAAAGCAACCAACAAAAAAAATTACTAAGATGCTCTAAAACAAAGAGCTTGTAGAAGTTTTAAAACTAAATAATTTATTTATAATAAACTATCACTCAATCAAAATTATTATATTAAATGTTAAAGGTTTAAATAATTTAAACAAACAGACTAAAACATTAACACTTTTAAAATTCTATAGACTAAACATCATTTTTTACAAAAAACAAATACTTTTAATACTGCTACCCAATAATTTTTAAAAAACTAATGGCTTTTTGACTTAATTTGAATAGGCAAAACAGCAATTTTAGCAGAAAACAAAATTATAAAATTTAAAAATATCAAAAAATTATAAGAAGATAGAATAATCTTAACATGTTTCACATTTAAGAAATTCTTCTTTCATGTGATAAATGTTTATACATCACCAAATATTCTAAACAGAACTGAATTCTTTAACAATTGGAATATAGACAAAAAAAAGAACATGATTAACATTATTGCAAGGAACCTAAATACCAACTTGAATTCAGATATTAATAGAATAAGTCAAGCAACTCCTCAAAATAATTCTCTAAGAATACTACTTAATGAAATTACAAAAGAATTTATTGACTCAGCCTTTTTTTTAAATAAAACTCTTTCTATACAGTCCATCAAAATATATATAACAACCAAATAATAGCCATTTGACTAGATTATATTTTTATAAATAAAACTACAGCTATCTCAAATTAGAAACTAAAACAAGATTTGGAAACTCTGATTATCTCTTAGTTAAATATATTCTAAGCTTAAAACAAAAACCTAAAAATTCAACACTTTGAAGATTTGATTCAAATTCTTTTAAAAATAATGTTCTAAAAAAGAGATCTTGAATAAAATTAAAAATGCAACTTTCACAACAAGCTAGGATATACATAAAATCTACATCAAATTGATTATAAAGATTTTCAAAAAACCAAAAGCCTCAGAAGACAAAATAAAAAGGCTCAACAAGAAAATTAACTAATTAAAAGAAATTATAGCCAAAACTTTTAGCCAGACATACCTCTTTATTATGCTAGACAGTCTTAACTCACAAGTTTAATTATAATTAACTGAACTGGCACAAAGATAACAATATTGATCAAAAACAAACTGAATAGAACTAGGAGAAAAATTAACTAAATATTTTTATTTATATTTTAAAAATCAAAGCTCATGTTCAGCTTTTACAAAAATACAAATTCTCTCAACTTAGGAACAATCTAATGAAAAAAAAGTACTTAACTATATCAAAGAACAATATTCTACAATATATAGCAAAGAAGAAATCAACAATGAAATAGCAAACCAAATTACTAAAAGATCTCCCACAGGTTATTACACAAATAAACAAAAAACTAATAGATATTATTTCCAAAGAAGAAATCTTAACAATTATCCAAAACCTACCAAATAACAGGTTTCTAGAATGAGGGATGTGGCAACCTAGTGAAGTGGTCAGGTTGTCAACCTCCCAAGTGGTAGGTTGGGTGTTCAAATCCCATCGACAGTGAAAATTTGGATAATCACCTATGTAGTACTCATATTATGACAACTGTTACTAACGGTTGGATTAGAATGCCTGTAATGGTGGTCACACCAGCATGACTAGCAGGTCATAAGGCATCTGTGCAATGTTGGAGTTATACAAAGGAATGCAAACTGACATATCGGGTAGTGCAAATACTAGATAAGTCCTTATGGCCATGTAAATTCATTGAAATTGGGTAACAAAAAGTCTATTTGGAAAGACCCAAGTAGAGAGGTAGCTGGATCTTCGACAGCCCTACTGTAAAGGCTAGCCTAGTGAAACGGATACCTAGGTCTAGTACCCAGTCCTAGTAGCCAGATAGGCAAGAACCTCCAGGTTGAGAAGTCTCAAAGGTATCACCAACCAGGCCATTAGAATAAATCAGAGAAAAAGAATATCAGGCCAACTCGATATACTGATAGACTGGTTATAGTTCTACACAGGCTATCTGGATTAAAAGTTTGATAAAAAGGGAGGAGAAAAGGCAAAGATATACTAAAATACCAGGGTTATGCTGTGAAGTAGATGCTGTGGTCTAAGTGAACTCTACAAGGGCATAGTGGTTTAATGGTTAGCCCTGACTGCAAGTGTTAGTTCTGCCATAGTGATACCTAAGTTAGCTGTAAAAATAGGTACAGAAGGCTCTGGAGAGTTTATCTCAAGAATAAATTAGTCCTAAGTTTGAAATGATAATCTGAGCATCTGAATATAATTCAGTGATATTAATACAGATTACAGGTTCAAAGGTTTAAAGTAGAACATCCAAGCAGAGGTGTTAGGTATGGCAATTAGTAAAAAACCTTTAGACAGACTCCTTAAATAGGTAATATAGAAAAGTTATACATGTAGTCAATTGTACACTCTCCTGTAGTGGTTCATTAAACCACAATACTGATAAGTGATTAATAAAAGTCAAAAGATTAAAGAGGTTACCTTAACATCAAAAAAAAAAAAAAAGTCTCTAGAACTGAATAGCCTCATATATGAATTCTATAAACTTACAGAAAAACACATCACATCTATTTTAGAACAAATCCTTAACTAAGTATTAACTTCAGAAATAATGCTTTCTTCATGATACAAAAATCTAGTCATACTAATACCAAAGAAGTTAAAGAAGTTACACAATATAAACAACTGAAGACTTATATTACTAATCAATTGTGATACTAAAATTTTTATAAAAATTATCATTAACAGACTAAACATGATTTGTAAAGCAATTGTATCTTAATATTAGCAAAGCTTTATTACAATTAGATTAATCACAGACTCTGCATTGGATATTCTTATAATTTTAAGAACCAAAAAAATAATACAAAAGAGCACTGAATGCTATTCATAGACTAGCAAAAGGCTTTTGACAGAATAAGTCATGAGTTTTTCTAACTGGTACTAGAAAATATATGCTTTAATAAAAAATTTAAAGATTTAATAAAAAATTTATTTTCTTGACAAAAAGCCTATATCTTAGATTCAGAATATATTTTAAACTCCTTTAGAGTAGAAAGAGAAGTTAGACAAAAAAACCTGCTCTTATCTCTTCTATATATGTTAGCATTTGAACTATTACTAAACATAATAAACAAAAATATAACAGGAATCAAAGTTAATAACTAATCTTTTAAATGTACTGCTTATGCAAATGATCTAACAATAGGCATTAGCTTTTACTCTGATTGAACAACAATATTAAGTCTATTTGATAACTATAAAAAAGCCTTTAATGCAAAAATTAACAAGCTTAAAAACTAATTTAATGCTGCTTACAAATATAGCAAAAAAAAAAGATTTATCCAGAATAAACTTAATTTAAAAAACTAGGAAAACAAGACCATGTTACAGTTTTAGAATATAGCATTACTGCTAATAGTATACCAAAAAAAGAATTATAACAAAAAGCTATAAGCAAGCTTAAACTAAACCTAGAATAGCTTGCTTATAGAAACCTATTCTTAAAAGAAAAAATTATATTAGCAAACTCATTGCTTCTCTCAAAAATCTAATATGTTGCTTATCTAATATCACCAAACAAGAAGCAAATAGCAGAAATCAACAGGCTTATTACCTATTAGGTCAAAAACAATTTTAAAATACTTCCAAGATACTCTATCTTCTAACAATTATATGAACAAGAAGGCTTACAAGTACCAATAGTTAGCAATATGCTAAAAGCTAAACTAATCTCAGTCTGAATAAAACTAATTTTAAATAATCTTTTGTAGTCAAAAAATTAAAAAAAAGAATCTCTCTTATACTTGATTAAAAAAGAAATATTTCAGCTATAGAAGTACTCTCTACATAACTAATCAAGACTAAAGCATAGTCTACAAAATAGAAACCCTATCTTGTAGCATAAAAAAAGCTAAAAGAGAAGTTTTTATAGAATCTAACTAACTCTGGAATCTTTTAAAACTAGAAATGGACAAGAAAAAAGGACTAAAAATAACAGTCAAACTCATAATAAAACTTTTAAGAAAACTTAATTTCAAGACTACAAATCAATTAGACTCTATAGAACAAACTCAAAATAACAATTGGATTCTTCAAAAAGCAATACTTTACAGAAAAAAAAACATTTTCTAGTAACTTTTTACAGAGCCTTATCATTAGTATATAGACTTTATTATTTTGTAGCAACAGAATTAAACAAATATTCTTAGTATTCAGAAAATATACAAACTATTGAACACTTTGTAACAAAATACAAAATTAGTAAAAAAATTTAGATGAAAGCATACAAATTTCTAAAAACAGGCCAAACTGAATCTATACCAAACTTGTTAGAAAAAATATTTCTAAAAATATTACAAGAAAAACAAAACCATATAAGACTATACTATAGCTATATATATATATTATATATGAAATCTGATATTGTTATATTGCTTTTAAATAAAAAAATATTCATATTCAGAATTAGCAATCTTAGTTATGGCAAGAAACAAAATCTTCAAAAAGATTAGTCTACTATATGACAAAAACTTTGTTAAACCTATTTATAAAAAAATCTACAAATATTTAGTTTAGTAAATCTTTTAATATATAAATAATAATCTAGTAATCATAATTAATAAAAAAGCATCACACATATTCCACAATGATATTATTTAGGATAGTTAAAAAAAAAAACATTTTTTGTATAACTAATATTACACAGATATTTTTTTTTTTTTTAAATATTAAGATAAGTACTTATGATCCAGGATTTTATTGATAGTATATTTGGCTAATAGTTGCTTTACAACTACAGGAAGCAATTATAAAGAAAGTATACAACTAACCACTTGTACAACTTTTAGTTATTATCTAATTTAAGTAGTCTACTCAAAGGTTCTATACTAGCTGCTATACCTAAAACCCACTTATAAGTTCCTTATTTAACTATTCTGTTTCTGTATTTACTTATCTACCTCTGTCTACTAACAATCCTAGCCAATGCTGATAAAAATATACCATGGTCACTAAGTCTTTAAAGCAGTTCACTCATATAGAGAACCTTTGACCTTGTACTAAACCTTTTAGAATCTTCTGTATTCCATTCTTATAGCTAACCTGATATCACTATGGCTGAAACTAACACTGGTAATTAGAGTATATCATTAAACTACTATGTCCTTGTAGAATTTACTTCAACTTTAGTACTAACTTTATAACATATCCTTACTACTTTGGTATTCAATTCAAGTTCTACCAAGCTGCTATTCCAGATAGCCCAAAAAGGTAAGGCAAGACCATACTTCTGGTTTACATATTTACCAACATATATCTTTTTTTTTTTGAAACTTGGAAATTCTGATAGCCTGATTGGTTTATCTAATTTCTTCTCAAAGACTGGCATATTTGCTTGGTTTCATAAGTTTTAGCTCTGTTTCATAAGTCTAGTCTTTATAGTAGCACCATTGAAGATTCAGATTACCTCTCTACTTAGGTCTTTAAAGTGAACTTTTGTCTTTCTACCTGGTTCTTGTGATTTATATAGCCTAAAAACTTATCTTAGGTTCATACTGCTCAGTATCAGTTTGTGTTCCTTTATATAACATTGTATAAGTGTCTAGACTTTTCAGTCATATTAGTATGATATGAGTTACAGGTATCTTATCTTAACTAATCATAAAAGACAGTTAGTTATAATACAGAAAGAATTACAAATTTTTACTGTCACTGAGATTTGAACTCTAGACCTATCTACTTTACTAGATATATAGATATTTTATAACTTATTAGTTATATTAATGTATTTATAGTTAAGATATCTGATTTTAAGTAATTATTAGAAAATAATTGTTATAATACTTATGATTATATAAATGAAATTTAAATTTTTTATTATTGGTAAATTTTGAACTTACTATTTGCTATTTAGAAGATTGATAACTTATCTATTTTACTAAGTTATTACATTTTTTTAAAAAACTTATTTACTTAACACTTTATATAACAAATTCTTTTGTAATGTTATTGTTACATATAATATTTTTCTTTGCAAAATTAATCTTTTTTTTGAAATTTTTAATTTATTTTTGCATTTTGTCTTAAGACTTTTTACAAGATTTTGCATTTGATTTAATTTTTATTTTAAATTACAAAGTTTAAAATTCTTAAATTTTGTTTTTAGTTTAATTTAAACTATTAATTTTATTTATAAAAATTAACAATTTAATTATTTAATTATAGAACTTAACCTATAATTAATTAATTATTTATTTTATTAAAAGTTTATATAATTTAGTACATATGCATTATAACATTAAATTATAAAATATAAAATTAAAAAAATAAAATTTTTTTAAAAATTATTTGTAATTTATAATTTTGCATATAAAATCACTTTTTATGTTCTAATAAAAAAAATTTTTTGCAAAATTTTAATATAAAATAACTTTATTATTACTTCATTTTAACCTATTTTAACTCTAACTTTTATTTTAAATTAATGTATTAATTGGTTTGTTTTAATTTCACATTATATCTAATTTTATAAATTCATAACAATGCATATATGCAAAATAATAAAATTCTTTATTGAAATTTTTTTTAAAATTAAATTTTTATCAAAAATTTTAATATGCAAATTTGCATGCTAAACCTGACGGTTTAAAAAATCTATTAGTCACTTATAATCAGAATCAACAACCAATTAAACCAAACTTCTATTATCCTATAACATACAAAATTCATAATACAACAAACTCTGAAAATAACAACTCTAATGAACTTTTTAAAGAGTTTAGAGTTTGATAAAAATTTTTACTATAAGAACCGTCAGTTCATTATAAAGAGAGTTGACTATATTAGCGTTAGATCGTCTAAATAATATTTGACTAATATTTATATTCCTTTGTTACGATTCGGAGTTGACATTTATATAAAAAGTTGGCTTTATACTTATACAGCCTAGAATGGCAATACACATCGTTAAATCAAATATATTAAATATTTTAAAATATACAATTAGAGTTTTTAAAATGAAAAATAAACAACACGTAAACATATCAATATATGTAAATTTGCAATTTATAAGATAATGTTCACGGTTAATGTTTCCATTTATAGAAAATAGTCTCTAGAAACTTCCATAGAATTTTGTATTTGTCCTACGTATGATTTTAAAGATTTGCAAGTGTAACCTAAAGATAAGTCAGGGTTCAAACCAAATTCAGTTAAATATAATCTTTTTCTATTTACGCACGTGCGTAGCGTAGCGTACTTAATGAGCTTTTCGATTTGTATGCTATGTCGTTAGATTGAACTTAACGAAGCCTAAATCTTATAATGTCCATTATTGTTAAACTTCGAAATAGCTTTAACGTTCATTGTAAAAACTCAGATTGGGAAGGTTCGTTATCATCTTACTAATAATTAGTCATATGTCGTATTGTTTGATTGGTTCGGGCATGATCGGTTGATAAAGACACCATTAATATCACGCGGTTATGGGCTTGCACGATTTGATAACAACATATTCGGAAACAGATGTGCAATTGTTTGTTTTTTTGTCACTCTATTTATGTACTACATTCCTAAATTTAAACTTTTGTGTATACGATCTTCTCAATACGTCTAGGAGGTTACATTGCACTGCGTGAATTTTTGGTCATCTGCCATCTGCGATTATCGGTCCCACAATTTCAAGTGTTCCTTACTAATGGTTATAAAAACATATAAAAGGGTCTCAGATTTTACCACCTCTTCAGAGTTTTGAACTTAAATAATATATATATTTAAGTTGAAGTTATAATTATATATGCTTATCCTTATAAAAGAAATCACAGTATTACTGAAATTATCGTGGTAGTGATCTTCGTTGAAAAAGTTAAACGTATTTTGTACATTTAGCAGAAACGCTATTTTACGTTATTTACGTTACGTGTTTGACATAGTGATTACATAATGCCTGTTCAAGTTGCAACTGGTGACAAATTTAGAGATAACTGTAAGTTATGATTTTGTAGTGCATATGTTATTTAATGCCCACTGTCACTGATAATTGTTTTTCTATTGTCACAGTCGGGATGTGCGTTTCTCAAGTTTAGAGGATTTATGAAGTGATAATTGTGAGAGTTATAATCATTACTAATGATCTTTTTTTTTTTGGTATTTCATCATGCCCATTTGTTTCATCGATTCTTTGTAAAATAGGTATCAGGTTGCTTCATAAAGCACTCGTCGGAAATTCTCAATGCAGCGAAGGTAAGCTGTTATTTGAAGCCGGCCGCGCGTTCGTTTACGAATATCACCTTCTTACGTATCATAACTACCGTTCCAATCTCGTCTTATTTATAATCTAAAGAGGAGAATCAACGTTTAGCTGAAGTGGCAAGACGTGTCGAGCAATCTATGTACCGCGACTGTAACTTCCAAGTGAATAAACATTATAAGGACATTGCAAGGAGCAAGGTCTGGAATTTGAAGGACTCGAAAAATCCAGAATTACGTGAAAATGTTATTAGTGGTAATATTGATGCTGAAGAATTTGCAAAAATGGATTCAGAGGTAATCTTTCGGAATGTTCGCTTCATTCAAATAAATATAGTCCGTGTAATATATCTATATTTTAATTAGGCGATGGCTTCAAAAGAACGAAAGCGTCAGAACAACATTATTCGCAAGAACTCCCTTGCAAATTCAATCGCTATAATTGATTTGAAACCAATCCCGATGGATGACTCCGATCCGAATGAACGAAAAATTACTCTTGGCGATCGAGCTGGAAACAGGGTCTGGAGTGGTTCAGATATGGACACTTCAACATAATTTGCGGATTATACATATGTCACGAACATATATATGTAAGAGGTAAAAAAAAGAGTTATGGAATTTTAGATAGATGCACTATCCTTTTGGATATATATTTTTTTTTTTTTATACGCAAATCTTGGCTAAATTAGTAACATTTTACTTCTTTCATATTATTTGAGCGATACATTATTTTTTGCCGATTCATAACCTTTGATATAATATCCACAAAAAAGGATCAAATTCGCAATCATTCTTTCAATTCTATTATTTTTTGTTCATTTTCACTGTACATATGTACGTATGTAAATTTTGATGTGATTAAACCATTTGCATAGTTTGCATTCGTATTAAGTTTTGATTTCTGTCAAATTCTCTGATTGTTAATATGATTTAAGCTGTCAAATTAAATATATCCAAAACTTCATCCGACTCCGTTAATCAATAATTTAAGATTTAGGGCATGTGTAAAATTTATGAATTCATTCAAATCTTATTACTCCACTTTTATTGGGGTAAAAGCATTCGTTTATCTCAGTAAACAGTGATTGTCCAAAGAGCATTTATTATACCAATATTACCCATTTTTAATTCCTTATTTTGAAGGCTTCTTAGACAAAGTAAATAAAATTTAGGGTTAAGGTTTAAAGTAAAAAAAAAAATGAAAATGGTGGGCCGGTAATATACTAAGACCCAACTTAAAAAATTTCGCCAAAAAAATAATGCCAAAATAGGATTAGAGATTGCTATTAAGTTAGGTTAGAAAGAGTTTATATAGCACCAACATTTCGCAAAGAACCCTTTTTATTAGTTTGTTTTGATTTTTCGCGTTTATTATGCTAAAACCTGATTGGCTGTTTTACAACCAATCAGATTTTAGATAGTCACCAGTTACACTATCTTAATTTAGTTTACCAGCAACTTTAGTTTTAAACAACGATATATTTTCTTATTAACTATATGGGGGGTGTCAATAGAAACCAAACAAATCGTTTCTAAAAAGTAAAGTAAAATATCTCAACAATTATTAAACCAAACTTGGTAAAAATTTTTTTATTTTTATTTTTATATAGTTATAAAATTAAAATAAAAAAAATTTACAAAGTTTGGTTTAATGGTTGTTGAGATACTTTAATTTAAAATTTTAAAAAACTTACTAAAAACCATTTGCTCGGTTTATTGACACCTCTCCATATATACAAAACATCAAGATCATTTCATTTATTAATTTTGTTCAAATTATGCCAACAAGTATACTCGTTATAGTGAACTTTTAATGTAATAAAGATCAAAGTAAAATCTTTCGCTATAGTAAATTTACCAATAAAATCTCGATATAGTAAATTGTTTATTAATGTAACGGATCACTTTACTATACCGAGAGTGACTTGTATTTACTATAGCATGACGCTATAAAACCAGTAATAGTTTAACCGTTTAATTTGGCCAATACTGAAACTATGAAATACGGTTAAACAGTTCCAATTCTTAACAAATCTGCAAAATTATTTAAGGGAATTGCTATTCGCACCATGGTAACTAACATTATGAAAAACTACTTACCCTAACTCTAACTAATTCTGGTCGTGATCTACATACCATGGTGCGAATAGCAAAAATCTATGGTGCGAATAGCAGTTCCCTTATTTAATTACTTTAATATTTAACTGTTATATTAAAAAGAACCGGTTTTATACTTTTTTTAATATTTTATATAAATTATTTTTAAGTTATTGATTTAAAATGTTTTAACAATTACTCAATAAGATATTGGTTATACAATACTTATATTAAAATTTATTATATGTATTTTTTATTTTTTTTTTATACATAATGTCAAATCATAACTTCTATTTTATTAACTTTTTGCATTACTATTACATATAATTACATTATATTTGTGTTACTAAAATTTATTTTGTTTCTAAACATCCAATATAACAATATATTTACACTTGCTTATATATTTTGTACCCTTTATTATGTATTATAATCATTATTACTAAACTACTAAAAAGGGTATAGTTACTTTGTTATACTTAAATTTTCTATTATTTTTAGCCCAATAGCAGTTTATCTGTCTACTATCTGTAGAAATATTTTTTTTCAAATTGATTAACTTTTATTATTTTTTGTTTTTGTTATTACTAATTTGATATATATAGTTTAATATACTTTTTGGTATCTTGTTAATATAATTGGATTTATTAAAGTCTGGATTATTAATTGTAGTTTATTATATATTTTTTTTAGTTGTATTTTTATAGTTGGTTTGATCTATAACTTGATTATATATATTTCTTACAAGTTTTTTAATAAGTATACTTCAATTATATACTAATATACTACTAACTTAATGTTATAAAAAAGTTTAAAATCTTGATTTATTTTATATAATATAATGCTTATTATCTAAATTGTGATATATAACTGTTCAAAAAATTTTTATTTAATATTTTAAAGAAACTTGTTTAAGATATTTCAATTTTAATTAAATCAATTTTTTAATATAGTTTTTTTTACATATATCATATTATTTACTATTTTATTTATAGTTATATTGTATTATTTTCTTAATTAAATACTCTGTAAGTTAGATATAAAGATGTTAGTATTGTCTTATCTTCTAAGAATTTATTTACATAATACTGTTGTATAGTTAAATTTTTTGTAATATCATTGTTATACATATTAGTATCTTCTCTTTACAAAATTAATTTTTTTTTAGAAAATTTTAATCTGTTTTTATATTTTATATTAGAACTTTTTATAAAATTTTGCATTTAATTTAATTCTTATTTTTAGATTATAAAATTAAAATTCTAAAATTTTATTTTTAGTTTAACTCAAACTATTGACCTAGTCTGTAAGAAGTTAGTAACTTTACTATTAAGTTATAAAGTTTAACTTCTTATTATATATTTTTAATAAAACATTATATAATTAAATAAAATCTAAATTAAATAACTCAAGTTTTATAAAAAAGTAGCTTTTTATATTAGTTTTAATTAACTTATTTTTTAGTAAAATAGTAAAAAATAAATTACAAATACTATTAATATTTTTATTAATTTTTTTTATATTTAAAACAACAAAATACTTTAAATTCATTTAACTTGTAATAAATATAATTATAACATTTACAAATTTTACTTATATTTTTTTATACAAATAATTATTTATATCATAAATTTTCATATATTTTATAATCAAATATTATTAAAAATAAAATTATAATTATATACATATAGTTCAAGTTGTTTTAGAACTAATATATTATGAAAATAACTAAAGTTAACCAGGGGAGAAATTCTTGGTTACATATAAATGATCATTATATAGTTTTATTTTTACATGTACCTCTGACAGATGCAAGTCTATTTTGACAGCTGTAAATGATCAGAGATTTAATTTATACAAATAAATAGGGGTTTAGTTTGCACATGATTTTATTTTTTTTTGTTCATCAATTTATCGTTAAATGTATAGAACATAGTCAAACAGTCAAAGCAAAGTGATGCGTATATTAAAAGTGAAGACAGGAACATAAGAAAATCAAGGTGTGTACGAGTGAAACATTCTTTAAGCAGGTTTATAGTTATACATTTTATTATCATTACATTAACTTCTATTGTCTACATATTTTCAGTTATGGAATTATTCGACGATACTGAATCTATTAATACCCAATTAACGAAGAGTCCAACAAACTATTTGATGAAACAATAAGCAAAAACGATAATATAGATCATCAACTCATATATGATACAGACTCTTCAGATGAAGAATCAGACATTTCTTCACTTAAAATAACCTTAGATAAACATTTCTGTCTAAAGCTATATTGAAGTTTCTCAGTTACAATTCTTTGGTTAAATCTTTTTTTTTGTGGTTCTTTTCAGTAGTCCTTTTTTTTCAGTGGTTCCTTTTTGGTGGTTCTTTTCTGGTGGCTTTTTTTTTCTGATGGCTTTTTTTTTGGACGATTCTTTTTTTAGGGCGATCCTTCTTTTTGGTGGTTCTTTTTTAGCACAGCAGTTCCTTTCTGATGGTTCTTTTCTGGCAGCTTTTTTTTTCTGATGGCTCTTTTTTTTGGGCGATTCTTTTTTTTGGGCAATCCTTCTTTTTGGTGGTTTTTTTTTGGCATGGCGGTTCCTTTCTGGTGGTTCTTTTCTGGCAGCTTTTTTTTTCTAACATCTCTTTTTTTGGGTTATTCTTTTTTTGGAGGCGATTCTTCCTTTTTGGTAGTTCTTTTTTGGCATTTTTTCTTTTTCAATCTTTTTTTTGGCAGCTTTTATTTTAACAACTGTAGGGCAGTTTTTTGATAGTTGGAATGACGTTAAAAGTTTTCTAAATACATATGGATTAGAGAAAGGTTTTAGTATCCGGAAAAGATAAAGTGAATCTCAAATAGTAAATAGCAATGAAATTTTAAGTAGAGTTTGTTAGAAGTGCAGTTGTGCAGGCAAGTATCAGGCAAAGAAAGTGTTAAATCCAAATAATCAAAGAAATCGATGATCTAAGGCAACAGAATGTGAATGGAAAGTTAATACAAACTTCTTAAAGTGAACATCAATGATTTCTTTTACCATAGTCATGGATAAACATAATCATCCATTGGTTCCTTCACCTGCAACCAATATCACTAGATATCGTAAGCTTGATAATGACATAATTGAATTTATTGAATTTTGTGTACATCACAGTGTAACTAGCGCACAAAGCATTGAACATCTTTTAAAAGGAAAATTTCCTAGAAGAAAGGTTTATCAAAAGGCCCTTTATAATGCAATTCAAGTAGCAAAAAAAAAATTAGTAACACGAGTTGAATTTAACGCAGCGGATCTTATGAATAGTTATATTCAAGATGAGCTGAGGATTCACGTTGGTTTATAGAGGCAAAATTTGAAAAAAATAAGTGTTATTTGTATGGATTAGTATAGCTATCACCCGAACAGCAAATTTTATGGACCTGTTATCATGATGTTCTTTTATTTGATACAACATCTCGTACTAATAAGTATAATATGATGGCTTGTTTCTTTGTCGTTGTCAACAATTGTAATCAAATGCAACTTGTTGCAACTGCATTACTTGAAAATGAGACAGAAAATAGTTTCTCTTAGGTATTACAAATGATTAAAAAATATATAGGAAGTCTAACACCAAAGGTCATATTTACCGATTCCGACCCAGCAATGATTAGCACAATAAACTTGAAATTTTCAGATTCTATTTATTGCTTATGTATATTCCACCTTGATCTTAATTTAAAGAAAAATCTTAGAAATAAGTTAAGTTCAATAGAATTCAAGAAGTTTCGTGAGGCTTTTTTTAGGTGTAGGAACATCTTAGTTTTAAGTATTTTTGAAAGTCAATAGAAAAGTTTAAAAGTGGAATATCTATCAATCAGTGGTTATATTAAGTGACAATTGGATCTGTTTAAACATAAATAGGCCATCTGTTATACAAATAATTAATTCACAGCTGGGGCAAATAGCACTCAACGGGTTGAAAGCTTTAATCATAAAATCTATGATTGTGTTTGGTCAAGTTCATTACTTCTGGAATTGACAAAAGAAATTCAAGATTTATTTGATAAAAAAGTTGAATATATGAAAGTCGAGGAGTATAAAGAACAAATTCCTATAATCGGTCTTCCAACTATCTCAAAAACCTATTTTAATTCTATTGAGATGGTTGTTTCATGATCTCTTTTATCAGCTATGGTGTTTGTTGTATATAAACAAATGCAGGAATGTTTTTACTATGACTGCTTTCAAATGAATAGCACGGTTGTTGATTTAATTGTAGAGGTAAAGTATTAGTCTCATGGTTTATAAATTTCAACAATAATTTTATTTTCTTATTAAAGAATGATATTGTTGACGATTCTATTTTAAACCGTGTAAAAAATTCAAAATGAGCAATTTACTGCAATTTTGTACTAAAATATTTTATCTTGTTTAAGGAACAAGTAAATATTAACAATATTGAGGGAGCACAGGAAGATAATTACGATATCACGAAAATATGTCTTGCCAATATTATATCAACGGTTAGACAAGAACAAGTTATAGAAATTTGGAGAGTAGTTATATCTTGTGGATCAAAAAACAACTATGTTATATTGTTAGCAGATGGGTCTCATCGATACACATGCAATATTATCATAACTCATGGATACCCATGCCAACATTTTTATAAGGTTTTATGTTGTTCTCCTCAGGCTAAATAGCATATTGGACTTATTGCAGCATGATGGTATAAAGACAATTTTATTGATGATATTTGGAAGCAGTCCCCAATTACAATATATGCTAATTCAGATGAAACCCATGTATCATGTGATGTTGAATATCTGATATGCAAATTTGATTACATAAAGCAAGTTTAAAAGACTGAAGTTTATAGTCAAACATTGAGAGAAGTCAATAATATACAACAAAAGTATGGAAGAGCTCAAGGCATTATGAGAAAAGTACTTGATATAGCAATCACAACTGATTCATATGACGAATTGATGGGTATTTGTCATGGATTTATCTTGAATAAATAAGGAAACCAAGAACCTGATACAATAACGGATGAAATTGAATGCAATATTAAGAACTCTGTGGTTAGTACAAGAAAGGAACATCTACCTGGACGAACAAAAAGCAATGTTGAAGTTCAAGATCAATGTGCTAAAAAGATGCGACATCTACAAACTTCAGAAATTACTAATGAATATGAAATTAAAAACAATAGGAAAACATATCAAAATTGTAGAAATAAGGAACACAATAGGGCAACATGCAAAATTAATCAGGGTTAATAGAAACATAATAGGGCAATATGCAAAAATGAGAGTTTTATACGTAGTATAGTTTGATTTATCACTATAGATCTATATATTGTATTGTATGATATCTGCATTGTTAATTGAGAAAGACTGCTGTCTGTTTGCTTAGTTTGATATACTTTGTCATTGTTAATTTCGAATATACGTATGTATATACTATTTGTTTGCTTTTTGTGCATAGTTACGTATGTAATTACAGTCAGACCTCCCTAAGTGCACGCCTTGGGAACCGATCATAAACATGCACTTAGAGAGGGTGTGCACTTAGGGAATTACGGGTTTATGTTACACAAATTTATAATCATCTGATCAGAAACCTGCACTAATCCTAAGACTTAAAAAAATTAGCAGAATGATTTTTCAGCTGATTCGATCAATTTTGTGATTTCAGCATATTTTACTATATGTGCATACATATCTTAGAAATATGATACTTTAAAAGTATATTAATATTTACAGCTGTTATCATAAATTCTGGAACATTTGGCAAAAATTAGCTGAATGATTTTTCGGCCAATCTGGTTAAGTAATTAATTTCATCAGTATTCAGTATAACGATAATATAGACCAGAGTAAAAATCTCCATCAAAAAAAGTTTCAAAAATTATATGATATTGTCAAATTATTATAATTAGGATCATTAAATATTAACATAATTGTAGTAATTTTTTCTTTGATACTTTAGAGTGAAAAGCGATTGTTAAAAACATAAATCCAATAAACACACTATTCTTAAAATATATATTGATTGCTGTAACTAAATTTTCACTAATAATGAATGAAAATCGAAATAAAATTATAAAAACTAATCAAGAAAATGCAATTTCATCAGAAAATCTTGTAGATTTTATTTTAATGCTCTTCTGGAAGATTATAACACTGATTATTTTATTTGAGTAAAAGGGTTTTTATAATTTTGAATCCAGAATGCAACAACAAAACATAATGAACCTAAATAGTAACAAATGGCTTGGTAGTATTAATAAAAATGTCATGCCATTGCATAAGCTGAAGGATTATACTCATTTTAAAAGGTAATGAAATATTCCAAATACTTAGAAAAGTAGTCTGAATTTTTGTTTGTATTTTGTTTTGCACAAATTTTTAGTGCTTGATATATTAGTCATATAATGTTCGAAACTTTTTTGGGTGACGATTTTACCTTTGTCTATATTATCGTTATACTGAATACTGCTGAAATTAATTACTTAACCAGATCAGCAGAAAAATTATTCAGCTAATTTTTGCCAGGTGTTTCAGAATTTATGATAACAGCTGTAATATATAAATATCCAATCATGCCAAATCATAAACATAATCAAATCGGCCAAAAAATCATTCAGTTAATTTTTTTCAAGTATTCCAGATGAAAACAGCTGTAACTTATTTCAAAAATAAATAGAAGTTTAAAAATTTTTTTTATAGTTTGAAATTCTAAAATCAGGAGCATACACATATGAAATTTATAAACTTTTTAAAGCAGATAAGGTTTAAAGTTGCTCAAATATATCATTTATCTGCTGAATACACAAATTATTTATGCAACTTGCACGAAAAATATAGAATGAATGCATGTATTCCATTGCATAATTTCTTTAATATGCCTGGAAAGTAAAAATAATTACAAATATAGGCCTAGCATAATAAGACCTAGTTTAATCAAATTTTTTATAAACTTAAAAAATAAAAAAAAAATTTGACATTTTTTTTTAAAAAAACAATTCTTAGAAATTTTTTTAACTGTTTTTTTTTTTAAAAAAAAAAGAAAAAAAAGTAAATTTAATAAAAAAAATACCAAATGTTATTTAATTTTCATAAATAATCTGCTGGCTCTTGATATCATTGCGACACTGCTGAGTTGTTCATAATTACAATTATTACCATCAATTTTTTGCATACATTAAGTTGCAGAAAAATACAGAAGATTTTCCTTTACCTATTTCTTCAATTTATTAAAATAATCCATTCAATCCTTATGTCTTAAAATATTCATTTATGCGAGTTTGCTGAGCAGAACTTGACATCATTCTCCTAATAAATTTCTCAAGAAAATTAATTGATTTTAATTGATCACCTGAGTCTTCCTGCTGAAGTAAAAACATCCGAACGTTTTCTAAGCTATTCAATGCTGAGCTACCACTAACAATTGTGGGTTCTACACTATCGTCTTCCTCTTCATCTATTACCTCAGTATTTTCTTCATCCATAACTTCAACACTTTCATTATTTCTGAACACATAAGCCAGCTCCTTAATGATTTGATCCTCCAGGGGGACTTCATAAACAATCTCTTTACCATTAAAATTTAAGAATTCATCAATTTCTATTGCATTTGGAAAACAAAGAGTATCCAGTGACCTAATAAAACCTTCAAGCCTTGAATCACCAGCTTCATGAAGATCATCTGAAAGATTTGCACTAGACGGGAGAATTTTTGTATGATGCTAGCAATTACGTATAGTTATAGCCAAAACCTCCCTCCAACCCTTTATGATATACAAGATTGCTTGTAAAACATCTATTTTCAAATCCTGAACAAGATTATCTGCTTCGACTTGTTCCAACATCCACCTAATATTTTTTTAAAAAATTTTTTTTTAAAATCTGGATCCAATAGACTACTGTATCATAATAAATTAAAGAGTGAAATTCAATACCAATATTCAGCCCCGTTTCACTGATAGTCTGCTTCACTGACAACCTTATTATTAAGGACCGTATTATGTAATCGGCTGCTACTGAATAGACTATTAGTGAAACAGAACTACCGGAATTGTGGCAAATTAAACAAAGATTAAAATAATAATAAAATGAAGAATGAGTAAAACAATTAAAAAAAAAAAAAAAATAGAGATAAAATATACAGTACAATAACTTACTGGAGATGAAAACGACGATAGGCTATTTTAAAAGCTATAATAATTCCTGCGTCCATGGGTTGTATCCTAGAAGTTGTATTTTTGGGTAAAAAATGTACATCTACATGCCAGAGGGTAGGGGCCTGCAAATTGCCCATTTTTGAGGCCCAGCCCAGCCCGCAATTAGGGTTAAAAATTTTTTTAGGCCTGGCCCGGCCCGCATTTAGGGTTATCATTTTTTTGCCAGCCCAGCCTGACCTGCATATGTCAAATTTTTTCTTCAGCCCAGCCTGGCCCAGCCCGACCCGCAAAAATTTTTTATATAATTTTACAAATTTTTAGGCCCGCACTGGCCCGCAATTATAAAATTTTGCAAATTTTTCGGTCCAGCCTGGCCTGCAATTATAAAATTTTGCTTCAGGCCCGGCCTGGCCCACAAAAATTTGTGGGCTGGGCCAGGCTGCGGGACCCAATACAGGCCTCTACCAGAGGGTTAGCCCATCTAACTTATGACTAGAACAATTGTCAAGAAGTAAAAAAACACGCTGGCCCGAATGCTTTTGCAACATTTGGTGGTTGAAATCCTGAAGCCACTCTTGAAAAAGAACTACAAGCATCCAAGCCTTAGCGTTGCTTCTATATGTCATGGGCAAATTATTAATTCTCACATTTTTGAAACATTGGTATTTGGCATATTTGCTAATTATAAGAGGGGCCAACTTATGGGATCCATCAGCATTCACACATAACACCACAGAAATATGTTCCTTATTTTTTTTGCATTCTGCAATTCGTCGAGTCACTAAGGTTCGATCCAGTTCCAATCTAGAAAAAAAATTTTTTATTAAAAAAAAAAAAAATTTTTATTAAAAAAAAAAACTATCAGTAAAAAAGCTCAGTTTCATCCATGTTATATATGTGGTCAAGAGAGTATTCAGAGCATTTACTTTGCAATAAAGGTAGGGATTCAATAATAACATCTTCATCATCAGAACCTGCTTCTCTATAAAGCTTTATTTGACAGATTCTATTTTGCTCTTTAAATTTTTGGAGCCACCCAGAAGAAAAATGTAACTTGCCTTCAGGGACTCCAAGTTTATCCACTAACAATTTTGCTTTTTCAATTATTATGGCATTGCTTAGAATAGTGCAGTGTTGATAGATTAATATGAATTCCTTGAGCATTAGCTCAAGCTCTAATACAGTAACGGTCCTATGTCGCTTGGCTTCTGGATTTATGATTTCATTTGAAAGTCGTTGGTCCTTAGTTTGTAAGATTCGAGTGATTATAGACTTATTAACTTTAACCCTCCATTTATTTTCAATCCACTTTACGTATTCTGGACAGGTTCTTTTGTTATCATGAGCATAGACACAGAATTCAAATTTTTGATTATCTGTTAGAGTTGTTCTTTTAGGCATTGCCAAAAATATTATATGAAATTTTTTTTTTTTTTTTAGAAGAATGCTAAAGCTTTATTTATTGAAATTTAGAAATCACTAAAGCACTTAAATTACTATTAAAATACACCTTCATTTTTTTTTTTTGATTTTTTTGTTTAATTGTTAAAAGGTTCATTGAAAGAGTTAATCAAAAAGGTTATGAATTGAACAAATTTTTATAGTTAGAATAAATTTCTTATGCTAGTTTTTAAGATATAAGTTTAATCAATCCAGATTTATTACAGTATATAGCTATAGGGACTGGGTCTTATTATATGCTAGCAATAAACTTACAGGCATCTCCTAAATTGGTATAATGAAAAACCACACTTTTTGTATGGCGATGGGTTACTTATTTCAAATAAGTATGATGATAGATTACTCAGTTCAGATAAGTATCCATAGCGATAGCAGAATCAAATAGTTTGAGGATTGAACATAAAACTTTTTTTTTATTTAATTCTCCTTTTATATAGGTCCAATACTAAAGTATATTTGACGATCCTTATAAAAAGTCAAATTAAATTATGTAATTTCTGGTAGTTTATTTAATTAAACTAATCTTGTATATTTTATTTTTAATTACCCTATTGTTCTAATTTTATTATTGCAGTATTGTGTACTTTGATCTATGCCTGATTTAGTATCCACATTTATTTGGATTTTGAAAAGCATAAATTCGATTATGTATTAACTACATTGCTCAAATTTTATTGGTCAAGACAATCTATAATCACGTGATAGTGCATTTACAAAAGGTACCTTAATAACAAAATCAAATGCATGTGCAGAATATAGAGGGTGTGCACTTAACAATATGGTTCTAGCTTGGAACCAGACTTTATAGTGTATTTATAAAGGGTGTGCACTTATAGAAGTGCACTTAGGGAGGTCTGACTATATATAATTAATCTAATCTTTAGTAACTTATATTTTAATTTATTTAAGAAGAATCTTAATGCTTACCAGAGGTAAAATTCACTACATCATGTGATTTTATTGGTTATATAATATTTGCTATTGTTTATTTATATATATAATATATTATATATATATATAAATATATTGTAATAAAACTACCTAATATGAAATGAAACTTCTATTGCTATATAATATAAGAACTGATTTTATTCTTAAGTTATCTATATAAAAAGTTTTACTTGGGGTTTTTATCTGCTATTATTTTATCATCATTGTTATTAGATTAATCTTATATATGTTGTGCCTTAATAATGAAACTTGGCCAGAATTAATAGATCAACCTAACCTATAGTCTAACTCAAATCCTCATTCTAACCTTAACTCAGACTGACATAACATTAATTTGAGACATTTAAATTCTAATTCAAGTTAGTAAATATGTTATCTTGCATAATATTATTCAAATAAGTACTACAATATTGTAATCACAGAAAGATACATTAACAATCTTTACTATTATATATACTCAATCCTAACTAATGCTAATAAAAATCAAAATCTGACACTAATTTTAATTAGATAAAAGTAAAAAACAGTTGCTAGTAAAATAATTAAATCAAAAAATTTCTTGATTATGAAAATATTTTGTGATAGATTTTTTGAGTATTAACAAATAAGTAATGCATAATAAATAAACTTGTTATTGATATAGAATTCATAACTATTCTAAATATAAACATCTAACCTAAATACAAATTTCTTATATCTGCTACCTAATATATATAATTAGTTTTCTTTAGTGTTTGAATATTTTTTTTAATAATGACCAGATATTCTACATAACAAGAATTGCATTGTGGTCTTAAACTTGTTTCTTCTGCACAATTTGTTTGAATATTATTATTATTATTTTTTTTTTTTTTTTTAAGTTAAAGTCCCTATCTTGGGAGTTGCGATGTTTTTATTCAAGTATATTAGGACACGGCATGCCACCAAGGGCTTACCTTATATTGGAGGTTACAACTAGCCACACATGCACTTTTGGTGCCTAATTTAAGTAGTCCGCTTACACATTACTA